TCAGAGCTGAGCCCATTCAAAGCCAGGGGCTTCTTCCAGGTCTTCCACGTGGGTACAGGGTCCCAAGGCTTTGGGCCATCCTCTACTGCTTTCCCAGTCCACAAGCAGGGAGTTGGAAGGGAACTGAAGCAGCCAGGATATGGATCCCAGTGGTATAGGGGCTCAAGGACTTGAGCTATCCTCTGTTGCTTTGCCAGGTCATAGGCAGAGAACTGGACCAGAAGTAGGGCATACAAGACACGAATCAGTATCCATATGGATGCCACAGATGGAAACTTATCATACTATGCCATGGTGTTGGCCCTTATAGCAAGTATTTAAAAAAATAAAAAATACATGCGAGAAGCAGAGACAGGTAACAGTGAGAGAATGAGCTCCTGATGCTGGTTTAGTCTCCCCTCAAACTGCAATATCTAGGTCTGGGCAGTACCAAAGCCAGAAGCCCAACTCAACTCAGGTATCCCATCAGGGCAGCAGGGACCCTCTTACTCAAGCATCATCATTGCTGCTCAGGGTCTGTAGTAGAGTTGGGTACGGAACTCTGGCACTGCCTTAAGGCATGCATGCATCTTAACTGCTAGGCTAAATATGTGCCTCTGTTACAAGTCTTTAAGCCCTCAGAGCCTGTTTCTTCAGACAATGCCTATCTCACAAAGTTGTGGAAAGAAAATAAAAAAAAAAAAAAAAGGACGCTCCTAACAACAGAACATGTACTTTGTTCTGTTTTTCCACCAATGACAAATTGCTGTTAATAAACTTTTTTCTTATCTGATTCTAAATATACCGAGCAGGCTTTGTCATTTCTAAATGTACAGTTAATGAACATTTATATCATATTCTATAAACTAGTATACAAGGACCCTGTGAATATGACATGCATATTAGGTAGTCATGAATACATCTGTGTACTTGTATAGCATATGCCTTTCAAAAGAGAAAAATACTAAAGTTAGCAATCTAGTAGAAAAATTTTCATACACTTTAGGGATGGACACTGGACAAAACCCAGCTGGATTATACATTTCACAGGAATGCAAATGACAGAAGAATCCCAGGAAAACCCCACCCTAACATTTCAGACAAGCATGTAACTGCAGATAAATTACTATTATTATCTAGGGACATGAGTAATGCTTTAAATATAAAATATCAGTTAAATGACTGCAGTAGACTAATCACTGACTTTAAAATATGATTCTGACAAAGCTATACCACTTTGTATTTTTTTAAGTTCTTTTCTTTTTAAAGATTTATTTTATTTTTTTAACTGAAAAGGCAGATGTATGAAGAGAAGGAGATACAAAGTTCATTCATCTGGTGATTCACTCCCCCAGTGGCCACAACTGAGCCAGTCCAAAGTGAGGAACCAGAAGCCTCCTCCGGGTCTCCCACTCGAGTACAGGGTCCCAAGGCTTTGGGCCATCCTTGACTGCTTTCCCAGGCCACAAGCAGGAAGCTGGATGGGAAGTGGAGCATCTGAGATACAAATCGCATCCATACGGGATCCCAGCACCTGCAAGGTGAGGACTTTAGCCATTTAGGCTACTGCACCAGGTCCAGTAAGAAAATTTTGAAATCCACATGTGATTTTTTCATAAGATGCATTTTCATGAACTCTTTGAAGATTCAGTTGGTATTACAAGGGTTTAAAAAAATTTTGTGTTCCAAAATGAACATTTTCCATTTATTCTACTTTAAATACTCTCATATTTATATAATGCTTTAGGTTTCATCACAAATATCACTAAGTAAATTCCGAAGAAGCTAGCATTGTGTTGCAGCTGGCTAAGCCTTAACCTGCTCCTGATAAAGCTACCTGTTAATCCGCCAGGGAAAGTGGTGGAAGATGGCTTATGTACTCGGGCCTCTGGCATCCACCTGGAAGAACCGGATGAAGTCCTCAGCTCCTTGCTTGAACCTGGCCCAGCCCTGGCTGTTGCAGTCATTTGGTGGTGAATCAGAGAACAGCAGATCTCTTTCTTTTGTCTCTGCTGGTCAAACAAAAGAGTATTTTAAAGCGTCCTTCATCCTTCATGTTGAATTTTCCAGTCAGCAAATTTAGGAATGTTGCTGAGTTCTACTGGATATTAAAATTAATAATATGTACTCACAATTATGCCCTTTCATTCAACAACCTCAAAGAGGTTTTTATAGCATTGTTATTTCTTCTAGTATCTCTGAGAGGCAATTGGTAGAAAGTTATTATTATCTCTATTTTACAATCAGAGAAACTAGGGCATAGAGAGGTCAAGTGACTTCAGCAGGGTCAAACCGTGAACAACTAATACAGATGCAACTCAGGCTAATTGTTCTCTCCAGTTTATTTCATTATCCATGATTTGGTTGCTTCTACACCTAAAAATATCTCTATCCTAGGGCAACTGAGCATAGTATATTAAATAACCTAAAAGCTACAGGGTTTTACATTTTTGTGTGTGTGTACTCCAAAATGCTGTTCTACAGGAATGTAGAGTAAAAACTAGTAATTATCTTTGATTTGCTGCCACAACTATTATTTATAAGGCTTTTGTTATTTGTGGCTTTCTGAAGCCCATGCTCAAAAGGAACTATTCTGACAATACGAACTATTTCTTTATGCTGGGTTAGCATAGGAGACCGGCTGAAGGAAGCAGGTGAGGTTGCTCTTCAGCCTCTTTCTACTGCTCACTGTTTAGCCATCTTCCATCTGGTTTTCTACTCAGTAGGTATTTGTGCAACCTGCTATCCTCCACCCTTGGCCCACGCCCAGTTTCAGCTATTGTCAAGGTTTAAGATTTTATTAGCTATAAACACACATGAACAGTTTGATAAATGTTTGATATACCTTGGTTACCACTGTCCCGTTCAGTTTCTGGTTCAGCCTCACCCCATGGTCATTAAGCTCTTCTATTAGCCTTCAACAATTAGCCTGAGTTGCATCTGTATTAGTTCTAGCTCAGACCATGCTTAGGCGTACTGCCCTGGGCTTCTCTTTACAAGCAACCCTCTGGCTTGCTCAAGACAGACATTTCTGTCTGGAGTGTCCCTTACTTGCACTTATTTCTTCACTGTCAAATCCTATTCCTATTTACACACACAAAAATATAGAAGAAAATCACGCTGTTCTTATTTCCAGTTTATTCCATCTATGAATTGTATGGCTGCTGACATACCTGAATGCATTCCTATTCTGGGAAAATTGAGATTAAAAAATACTTAACTAATCCAAGAGTTAAAAGTGATTGGATCGCTCACATTTTAAACCTTATCAACCACGATAGCTGAAACTGGCCAGAGCAAGGATTGAAGATAACAGGCTACACAAATACATCCTTAGCAGAAAATGAGATGTCAGAATTCTGATCTGAGGGTGGGTGGGCATATATCCTCACAGCAGAATTTGTTTCCCCTTAATGTGGAAATACAGAGGAAGCTGTGGTTTTCAAACTACTGCTCAGTGTGGGGAGATTGCAGTTGGCTTGGACACATTGATGGAAGCCTGGGGCCTGACTTCAGCCCAGCTCCCCCCATACCCACACAGCAAATGCCACTGTTGGAGACAGCACTGCTCCTATTTCAAATTTCTATGGACCAAATCACACCCCTGTGTTAGTAAGTCCCGCATTTCCCTAACTCACCCTTCTTTTCATTTACCTAAATTCTGTTATCCTACTCCTCTCCCAAAGCACGAAAAGGCATTTTCAGTGCCACTTTCCTTCTGACCAGGCAGCTTCCTCTGGAAATACATATTCAGGATCCTGCAGGACAACTGCATACAGGAATCCTCGGAGAGGCCTTGCACTTCCTCTTCCGCAGTGACCCCTGGCCCACCTGCTCTCTTCCTGTCCTGCTCCTCCCCTCAACAAATCCCTGCTCCATGTCAACATTCTGTGACGGCCCCTGCAGGGCGTGGAACACAGTCAGGCTCCATTTGGTGCCTGCCTGCTTCATCCATGCTTCTCAGCAACTCGGGTTGTAACTTGAAGACCCGTAAGTCCTATGGTCTTTGCGACCCACGCTGGTCCCCGTATTCCACGTGCATTCGACCTGCATCCTGACTTGCCATTCCGCATGATTAGGTCCTGGGAAATACCCATGTTATTTTTAAACTCAAACCCAGAGGTAAAGAAAACAGCCTTCCCTCGTTCTAGACCTTGATACAGCATCCTTCTAAACGCCAATTACTTTGCTTCCCTAACTGCGCCCTGGAATGGCCTTTCTGGACCGTGTAAGGCTAGCTCCTAGTTGGCAACTAAATTGGATGGTGGAGCGATAAGAGAACAAACGTCAAGCAGTGAGGCTCTGGAGCTGCAACCAGATGCAAAACAAAACAAAACACACCGATTAATTTCACTACTCTTCGTTACAAATCACGCGCCATGGGGCTGCAGGGAGACCTCAGCGCTACAGGGACTTACAGGCGCAGCGGGGCCCGAGAGCCCTCAGACCAGCTGCGGAGGCGAGTTTTGCAGGGGTCGACAGTGAGGCTACAAGGCCAGGGGCGGTCCACGGAGACCCCTGCTAGGCAGGGCGGGCGCCTGCCCACCGCCTGGGATTCGGCCCGCAGCTCTGGAAAACACTAGCGAAGCGCGCGGCAGCCCCGTCCCCTCACACGCTCGGGAAGAAGGGGGCTGCCCCCCATGAGAACCAAGATGGCGGCCTCCGCGCTCCCCTGCTTCCCCCAGGATCCCCCTCCTCGTCCCCAGAAAAAGAGACAAGGACGTCGCAACGCGACGCCGAGATCCGGGAACGGCCGCGACGCCCGCGGCCACTCCTGGACCGCGAGGAGGTGACTTCACCTCGCCAGGAGCTAGGAACCCGGAGGAGGGCCTTCCGACCGGCAGGGCTGACGGTCCTAGGGGCGGAGGCCGGCCAGCCCCGCGCTCTTCCCAGCCATTGTTCTTCAACTCCGGGACTCCGCTCGCCCTCCTCTCCGCCCGCGGACAGGAAGTCCCTGCCCAGTCGGCCCCACCCCGCTCGCCAGCGCCCCGGAAGTGATCTGCGGCGGCTGCTGCAGAGCGGCCAGGAGGAGGGTGGACCTGCCCAGAGCGGAGCGCCGGAGTCGTCCTCCTCCTCCTCCTTCTCCTGCTCCTCCTGCTCCTCCTGCTACCGCCCAGGCTCCGCCACCGCCCGCCTGCCCGCCCGCCCGCCGGACTCCTCCTCCTGCCGCTCGTCCGGCCCGAGCCAGCGCAGCCGCGGCTTCCGAAGCCCGCGGGGCGGCGGGGACCGGCTCGCGGTGCAGGTGAGCGATGCCTGGCCCGGACGGCCCTCGGAGGGGCTCGCCGGGGCGGGAGCGGCGGGGGTGTGTCCGGGGTGGCGGCGGGGCCCGGCGTGCGGCTGCCGAGATTGCACCTTTCGGGTTGTACCCGGGGAGGAACGGAGGCGAGGCTGGAATCTGGGGTGCGGCGCCCGCCGCTGTGCGGGCGAGTGCAGCCCCGGGGAGCGGGCGGCTTGAGGTCCCCCGAGTTTGGCCTCGCGCGAAGGTCACCTCGCATCTCTGGCACGCCGCGCCCGGGCGGTGCCGGGGACCCGTGGGGAGGGTGGGGGAGAACCTTGTGCCGCCGCAGTCCCCCCGCGCTGCACTCCGCCCCTCTCGCCTCCTTCCCTTTCTTTCCACTCCTCGCCTCCACTGGAGCAGTTGTCTTTGAAGCATCTCCGCCTGGGGTTTGTGCCAGTTAGAGGAATGGCTTGTTCAGACCGGAGTCCTTAGACGCTCCGCACCGAGCTGAACAGTTGGCCCGCGATTTAGCCCAGGTTCTGGGGATCAGGGGAAAAGAGAGCGTAGATGCTGGAGGTGGGAGGGGTCTGGTTCCTCCCTGAAAGCTGTCCAAGGAGTGCAAGGTGTGATTTGTCTGCCCTAGTGTCTGGGTGGAAGTGGACGGCGGGCCGCGGTGCGTTTCGGGGGTTCAGGGAGAAGGAGGGAATGGACTGACTGGCCTCTGCCTGGAAACCTGAATGGCCGGAACTGTGAGCGCTCGCCCAGGTGTGGCGGAGGTAGTGTGAGAACTCTGGTGCCACGCCCTAGGTGTCAAGCTGAAATGCACCTCATTTGCAAACCGGTCAAAGTGGGAAGGAGACGATGTGGGATTTATAGAAAATGTGTCCTAAGTGCATTCTTTTCCTGGAAGAAATTACAGCTCTAATTATGTTCCCAAAAATTGGATTGCAAATTTTTTTTTTTTGGTAGACACCAAGGAAGGTATTCCTTCTAGCTTATGTGTATTAGTGAATATAAATATATATATTTGCTAAGCTTACATTGATGTTATTAAACATATTTTTTTTTGCCCATTTGTACAGTTAGCCTAACATGACTCTTGTGACTTAACGTGATGTTTTTAAACCTGTAGTTTTCTTCAGGGCCAGAGCCATGTCTTACTCATCGTTGTGTTCCCATGCAGTGTGCCTGGAACATAAGAGATTTTTACACATTTCTTCACCGAGTGAATAAAGCTCCGGGTGACCTCACTGTGGCCTTCCAGGGATCATTTTTTTCACCCACAGATTTGCTTGTTCTGTGTTTGTGCTTCAGGTCTTAAGGACATATAGACATTTTTGTTTGTTTTTTCTTCTGTTCTTAAGCAAGATTTCGGAGTAACTCCAGAATTCAGTATCTTCCAAAGCTGTGATTCCCCCCAAAGGTTTAAAATTGCTTAGGGGACTGAGATTGGCCATTTGAATAAATTGAATCCCGGGGTTCGTTGTTGACTGTCGGTGCAGATGTTCTCGGGATAGGCAGAAAGTGTGTTTGGAGCTGATAGCCATACCCAACCTTAGCCCAGAAGAGGAAGTTGGGAGTAACCAGTGATTGGGGAGACAGGGTGCATCACCAGTTTGCTACCGGGTACAAGAAATCCTCTGCCTTCCAGGTGTGACCTTGGCATGGTGTGCCAGTAACCATTTCCATGTTTCTGAGATGCAGGTGCGTTCCTGGTATGCCTGCTGAGTGTGCAGTCATCTATCGTGTATTTGGAAGCAGTCATTCAGGAGGACACTTTCTTTGCAGGGCTTGCAGGGGAAAGGGGGAGAGGGGCAGCTAATTATGGGAAAGAAGTTTTTCTACCATTCGTGTAGGAAGATTTTTTTGTCTATACACAGCTGGATGATTTTCACTTTAGGGACGGCCCAGGAAAAAAAAAAGTGCTGAGGTCATCTTTTCTCTTGCAAAGAGCTGGTGGCAATCTTGCGCTGGTTTTCCCAGGATGCCTTCTACAGAACGTGATTACGTACACCAGCACCCCTTCCTGTATGTGTGTGTATCCTTGTCATGCACAGCTGTGTTGTAATTGTGTAAAAGCGTGAATGGTTAAAAATTTACATTTTGCGATAGTTTATGATTTTCATTGTCTTGCTCATGTCCTAATTCTTGGACATTAAAGCCTGCAGTTTCTTATCTCAGCGACATTTCCACTGTGCAGAGGCTGGATTTCCCTTTTTAAAATCTGACAGCCTTCTTGATAATAGTTCTCATATATTGATCGCCTGCCAAGCACTGCGATAACAGCTTTACTTTTGTAATTGCTAATCTTCACAATACCTCTGCAGGAGAGATAGTATTCCAGGACTCTACCATGGCCAAAGGAAGTTACTTGTCAGCGGCTAGACATCCAGCTTGTTAGTGTGTAGCAGTGCCTGGATTTGAAAGTGCAACAACGGTTTCTGACCACCCGGTTTTGCAGTTAGTTCTGAAAGGCCAAGGAAAAGGCAGTTGTCATTGAGCTGAGCTTCAGGAAGTCAGCACGCTAGTCTTGGCACTGTTGGCTGTCCAGGGTGGCCTGGGATGCAGGGACTGGCTAAGCAGGGACCACCTCTTAATCCCAACGTGCTTGCCATTCCGGTGTTCCCGTGCCACATACGTAGTCTGTGTGTGCCATGATGAAGTGATTGGGTATTCTTGTGGGGTCCTGGTGGGGTTAAGAGCACAGCAGTAATGTTTGGTTTTTGCTTTTTACTACAATAGTCCCTGTTGACAGGAGAACCATATGCCTGCTTGTCATGACATTTCCTTAAACTCACACTTTTTCAGTTCTTTTGCACTACTGGGGTGGTGGGGGGGAGAGATTAGAGGGTGGTAGGCAGCATGCAGAAGGAAGCACAGTGCTGGGTCATTTTCCCTTTGGAATTGGCTTGGGCGTTTCTTGTTCTTGCAGAACTCTTGTTAAGGTTCTCGTTGCTATTCTCTGCTCTTTCCATGCCTGTGCACTTTTTAAAAATGCACTTTTAGTTGGACTTATTTTGAAGGATGTGTTCACTCTTTTTATATATATATAAAAGTATTTGTCTAACTATAAGCAAAAACTCATTCTCTGTAAGGATCAGCTCTTTGTTTTTTTTCTCATTGCATTCATAAGGATTTTATTACCATGTAGAAAATAAAGAAATTAAAACCATGTGAGCTTTAAAAGTGTGAATAAATTTTAGAAGAAAATTTATATCCTTGATTTGGTTATGCCTGAGGATCAAGACTGTTATTTCTTCCAAGTCAGGAGGATAGTCTGTACAAACGAACGAAAAATCAAGGTTGTACAGAATACTGTGATGCTCTTCTTAAGGCGCTCATAGTGAGAGTCCTGTATTAGTTGCAGCAGACAAAACCCTTGGCATGCATTATCTCCTTACAGTGTGGGATCAAATTTCATTTATGAATTCACTTTTGAAACTCAACACCAGGCTTTGACAATGTCATTTTGAACAGTAAAACACAGCAAGATTGTGAGACAACTTCTCCTCCCAGATGCACTGTGCAGGTGGGGCAGCGATCCCCGTTTCCACAAAGATTGTGATTGTGGTCATCTCCAGTTTTCTTGCGTGGTTGAGTAGCCAACACAGCCATCCATTGAATGTGGAAATTGCCATGCTGAATTGCCAAGTGCTTTGCTTCAGCTGCCCTGGTCAGATCTGTTCTAGTAGAGCCCCCTAACCTCTGCTTGGCCCTCCTCTAACCTTTTCCCCACTCTTGGTTGGGACAGACATGATCTTCCCCTGCTTAAACCCCTCTCGTGCGGCTTCCCTTTGCCCCTTGAGAATGCGTAGACTCCTGTTATCCTTACTGTTATTTACAAAACCTTCCAGGAGCGTTCCATACCTCACCCTGGCCTCTCTTGGTGACACTCAGGCCCAGGAGTCCCCAGCTCTGGGATGGTGGTGTTTACTTACTCCTCCATTTCCTCTTCCTGCCGTTCTAGCCTCTCCTTTCCCCCCAATCTGATATACTCCTTTTGCTCCTCAGAACTCAGGTTAGGTTGTGCCTCCCCGAAACTGTACCTTGATCACACTATTTCGGTGGACCCGACTCCTCAAGAGAAAAGCTTCTAGTTGTGTCTCTTGTGTGCTGCCCTGACATGCGCTGGAGCACTTACTGTGCTGTAGGAGAATACCTTCAAGATCCCACTGTAAATGTTGTCGACTGTGGTCCACAGAAGCCCCCCCAAACACACATACACAGGCCTTTATCGGAATTTCCCAAACTTCATGGTACCCTTATTTTCCTTATTGTTTGTGCTTAAAGATTTATTTATTTTTGTTAGAAAAGCAGATCAGATTTACAGAGAAGACAAGAGACAGAGAGAAAGATCTTCTATCTACTGGTGGTCCGCAATGCCTGGAGCTGAGCTGGTCAGGAGTCAGGAGCTTCCTCCAGGTCTCCCACGCAGGTTCAGGGTCCCGAGATTTTGGGCTGCCCTCCACTGCTTTCCCAGGCCACAAGCAAGAAGCTGGATGGGAAGTGGCGCAGTTGGGCATGAACTGATGTCCATATGTGATCCCAGTACGTGCAAGGTGAGAATTTACCCATTGAGCTATTGTGCCAGGCCCAATGGTACTTTTATTTTATGAGTAATTTTTTTTCACAGTATTCCTATATTAAAATTCTTAGTAAGTTAATTCATTAAATAGTTAGGCTTAAACAATTTAATATGTGTTTATCTCTCAATAACTTAGTGGTTATTTGAAAAAAATAAAGTGCTGAAACTAAAATAACTCATTCTTTTATTATTTTATTTATTGTTTATTGGAAAGTCAGAGAAGAAGATCTTCCATCCACTAGTTCACTCCCCAGCCAGCCCCAGTGGCTGGAGCTGAGCCAATCAGAAGCCAGGAGCCAGAACTTCTTCTGGGTCTCCCATGTGGGTACAGGGTCCCAAGGCTTTGGGCCTTCCTCAACTACTTTCCCAGGCCACAAGCAGGGAACTGGACGGGTAATGGGCGAATGGGCATATGGGATCTTGGCATATGTAAGGCAAG